AGCTAATCATCGTATTTATATAACACGCCAAAGTTAAGGACCATAATACAGGAAACAGTAAGGGCGGTGATTTTCCCACTCCCCTTTTGTCCACTTACACTCCCTTTTATTTTTTTAATAGTTTTTACTATAACAAAAAAAGGGAGTGTACGTGAAGAAAAGAGGAGTGAGAACATACAATTTTAAAAAAGGGAGTGTAAGTGGATAAAAGAGGAGTGGGAAAATCAGCTCCCAACAGAGAAAGGTATAAAGAATTATAGTGATCCAAATTTAAGAAATTGGGGACAAGTGGTGCTGCGAACAAACACAGTGCAGAAATGATACTAGATAGCCAACCTTTTGGGATCATTTACAGAAAATAAAAAATATAGGAGCAACCAGGAAATCATTAAATTATTTTTCTGACTCGTCTAATGAGTAAATAATGAAAAACAAATCCAAGGTCAACTCTATCTGTTTCACAAAGGTCAATTTTGACAATCCGGCATATTGATATTGGAAGATACAGCATTTTCCCTATGATATGCATCATCATTGTCTTAATTGGTTAAATGAGACTACCAATGGTTCCAGGAAAACCAAATGCACAGAAAATTAGGACCTTATATATCTTACTACAATGCAAATCGCAGTTTTCACTAATACAGACAGATGTCATACCACGGTCCCCCTTATCAAGTAGATAATTCTCCAGTGTCTTATTTATCAGATGTTCCTGTAAATGTTTTTGATGTTCTGTCATGGATGCATATAATATGATTTCCTTTTTCCTAGGAAGCATCTGCTCAACATCAGTCTTCATTCTTCGAAGAAGAAAGGGACGCAATATGGCATGGAGTTTTGCTACCATCTGTGGACAATTGAAAATTCATCATAACACAGTTCAAATTTTCTACAAAAATGAACCCAATGTTTGCAAGGACGCATACTTGGGCCTTTCTCTTCTCTTCCAGTTCTTCCATCATTGCTTCACCATTGCACTTTCCTGCTAAATCAAACCTGCCAACAAGAATGCACTAAGCTAATTATGTAATAGACTAACAAAACATAGCCATACAAAAGAAATCTATTGGTCTTCCTTTTCCACAAATATTATTCACCCAGCATATCATGGGCTTAGGTCTTAGCAAAACATAAAGACATATAGCATGGTTCCTTCAACAGCTAACCTTCTATACAAAAGATACTATTTTAATGACATCACAGTAATGATTGAATCGTGTCTACAATCCAGATGAATAACGGAATTGGACTGGACATGCCAAAGAAAATGCTTCTGACTTATTCCTCCACTGGACATTTGCAGGATTTCCACATAATATATAATCGTTGCATGCTTACTATTCCAAAGATTAAAAATATTACTAGGCAAGAAGCCTAATTATAAAAAGTATGAATATACAACAGTTATTCAGTTGCCCAGTGTAGTTTCTAGAAAGCAGGTGGTTCTCAAACTAGACACCTAGTGGAGCTTGATATCGCCCATCACCAACAAAAAATATTTCCACCTTGATAGATGAATGAGTTTGCGAATTAACAAGCATCAAACTGGAGAAAAAAAAAAAAAAACAGAAAACCGTACTTACCATGACTCAAATTCTTCATGGGATGAGAATATATCAGGCAAAATGAAGTTCAACAATGACCAAAGCTCTGCCAGATTATTCTGCAGAGGTGTTCCAGTCAAAAGAATCTTATTTTCTATAGGTAAGAATTTCAATTGCTGCAGTAACTTGCACTTCGAGTTTTTCAATCTGTGTCCCTTCAATAAACAGATGCAGAATAGGTCAACATTCATGCTATATTATAGGTTTTTTTTTTAATGGAAACAATATCAGTAAACGGACCAGTCTACTCACTTCATCAACCACAAGATATTTCCACTTGTAATGTCTCAAAAATCTTCTTGCATCAGCCATTGCAACTTCATATGAAGTAACAATTATAGGGAAGTTAGGGCCAATTGCTCTAGGCATGTGCTTCCTTCGTATCTCATCCCTCTGTTTCTTGTCCCCATGGTAGACTATAGCCTTTATTGAAGGGGTGAACCTATTTGAGGATAGAAAGAAGGTAAAAGGAAGAAATAAAGTTGACAGATCATTGGATGAAACTATATTCAGAGAAGTTAACCAAAAAGAATCTATTTAAAACATTTACCTTGAGAATTCATTTACCCAGTTGGAGAGAGTAGACAGAGGAGCAATTACTAAATACGGCCCATCCAATCCATTCCCTTTCAGATGAGCAAGAAAACCAATGGTCTGGATGGTTTTTCCAAGTCCCATTTGATCTGCAAGGATCCCGTTCAGCCCATTTTGCCATAATGAGATCAACCACTTTACACCTTTGATTTGATAAGACTTCAATTTTCCACCAGTCAACAGAGGCACAAGTTCTTTTTGCTCTTTCTCAACTCTTTCTTCCTCAGTGAGGTCCACATCTTCAGTTTTCTCACCCTCTTTAGATCTTGTAAGCATAGCTTGAACTGCCCTCTTGGCCTTCTTCTAAGGAAATGAAGATAGTAAAGGTCAAGATGTCAATATACAAGGAACTTAAAGAAGACAAAGAAATATCCTATAAACTTCTAATGGGATGAAATTTAAAACATAATTAAAAGATATATTCACTATATTCCGAAAGAATATTTAGCCTTTATTATGTCACCCAGCAAGCAAATTTTCTCCCTTGGAAAAGATTAATCCACTTGGGACAGAAGATAAGAGCAACTGGACCACCCAAAACCTCAATAAATAGATGTCCATCTGATAGATAATTGTGACAATACTAATTACACCTGATAGGACAACTATACACGAACATCCATATATATTCATGATCAACCAAACCAGACTAAATGAACAAGATATCTCATTTTGGAAAAATGAAGGAAGCATGGAATTTCTTACATTATTGTAGGTTGCAGCGGCTTTTCTTTTTCTACCACGACCTTTCTTTTCCTCAACAGTTTCAGTCTGCTGCTCGGCTCCAATCTAGCATAACATTTCATTTTATAACTTAATCAGCAAAAAGCATAAGAAAGAATTTACCATTTAAGAGAAAAGTGTAAGAGAAGGTACAAGTGTGATGTTATCCATTTTCTCAAGCAAAAACTGCGAGTAAAGCTGAGTTTGTGTTAGGAGCTCATCCAACTTGGTAATCTGAGTGTTATTCAAGTTGGGTAACTGCTCTGCCACCTTTTCTTTTTCTGCCTCCTCTTCCTTCACCCGATCTTCAAGCAACTTTTCTTCCACCTCAGTCAAGGCTTTTGGTATAAGCAAGGAATCCTCAATTTTTTCATCAGGAAGTATCTCCTCCTCTGATTTTACCTCGCTCTTCTCTAATTTGACATCAATCTTCTCCTCGCATGTTTCCTTAAACATGATTCAATACAACAACATAACAAAATGAACAAAACATGGTTAAAAATGTAACATTAGTACGAGTTCGAAGCAAATATAGACCCTATTGATCAAATCCAACAGAAACCACACACTAGGCATCTATAATTTGTCACACAGAAGCCTTTCAGGACTATAAGAGAACATATTTCGTAGAAACAATAGATTGAGCATGTGCATGCAAACTTCATTTTCTCACAGCTAGACCAAAACTCGAAAGTTCTTAATTCAAAAAGTACGTGAGAGGCATAGACACACACAGACATGATTTATTTTCTACAAAATTCGTTATTTTGAGGAATTTCTTGTCTTTCTTCTCGTTCTTCAAACATTTTCCTTCAAACTCTGCCACATTCCTAAGAACCAACCAGACCGACAGAGAGAAGCTATAGAAACAACCGCCATTAAAAAATTAGTGAAAGCAAACCTCGTCCTCAAGAACCGAAGTCGGGGATTCTGCTGAGGCATCGTTCTTCGCCGCCATTTCAAAATCTAAAGGTGAAAAAGAAAAAAAAATAAACATTTTCAGTACATACTAACCGAACAGAAGATAAAAAATTCCAAATAAAAAAAATTAGTGTTTCTTAAAACACAAACCCTAGGTTTCGGGTTCCAAACAATAACCATACGAAAAAGCGAACAGAAAGAAGAAAAAAAACGAAATAATGAAACTTAAATATAAATATAAAAAAAGACATGAAATGAAGGAATAGGAACCGTACCCAGAGTGAACCGCAGAGAGAGACGAATGCCTCCAAAGCACACAGTTGCAGAGAGAGAAGAGAGCAGGGAAGATGAAGAAGCGCTTGAGAGTTCAGATATTATTAAGTGAGTGAGAGAGAGAGAGAGAGAGAGAGAGAGAGAAGTGGGTGGAGCAGAGAGGCATATAAAGTACCCCAAATTTATTAATTTTCACAAGCGAACGAAGTGACTGGGCGGGAAAACGGGGTTTGAATATTGCCCTAGAACGAGCAGTTAATTACTACTGCACCTTTTTTGTCTTACGATGTTTTCCATTTTTGTTAGGTTTTTTCTTCACGCAGGGTGTTATTAGTCTTTTCGGTGAATGGAGACATTGGTGGGTTGGGTTCCCAAATTGAAGGGAACAGGCACGCTTTGTCCGGCATTTCTCGGATTTGTCGTTATTGTGTCCACTCTTCGGAAAATTACGATTTAAAAAAAAAAAGAAGGGTTCAGTTTTTGGATATGGATAATTATATGGAATGTTTACTTTAATTTTCTCAATGTTCGTCACCTTTGACCAATTTCATTAGGAACTTGATTTTCTCCTTGTTATTATGTTTTTTTCTTCTTAGTGATATGTAATGTATTGTATATATTTGATGTTTCACAATTTATAGATTGGAAACGTTGTTGTATGTAACGGAATACGGCTAGATGTGACTTCTTTTGAAACGCCTTGTTAGCTAGAAATAAAACAATAAGAAGAAAAAGAAGGGTTATCATAGTTGACTATGACAAACTAACAAAATTTAAGTTTGAATGGAGAAAGAGAGAGCATTTCAAAAAAATTTATTTTAATTGGAATTCTACATGGACATTCTCATTAACAATGCAATGTTGGAAACGATGACGTTTTAGAAACTGATGGAACAATGATTTGAACATCCAGTACATAAATATCAAGTCATCTTTGCCAGAAAATTACTGGAAAAATATACAACAATATTTAAAGTAGACTGTGGTGTGGATAATAGTTATTGTGGGTTGACAAATTCCACAGCAAACAAATAGGATATTACACAACATGCTTAAGACTGGTGACAGAAATTTTCAAATCCCATGTACTCTTGATTCTCCATCTTCTCAACCATATTTGCTATCCCCACCCCACCTGAACAAAAAAAAACAGCAAAATAAAATTAAGCACATTAGCTTTATATAAGCTGAAAAAATACTTGTCCATTTTGCTTTTGTGAGTTATTTGTTGTTATACCTAAGCTGATTGCGCTCACAAAGATGGTCAAAGCTAGTATGAAGATGACAATGGATGCCCTCCCAACAACTGCAATTATCTTTCTCACTACATGCTGACCAGTAAATGCAGCAATTGTTGCAACTAAAACAAAATAAGCAGCTGCAGCATAGAGTAAACTTGGAACAGTTAGTTTTTTTCTTCCTTCTTTTTTGGGTATATATAGAAGATCTGAACACATATAATTTTTGAAATCTCAGCTGAAGTTAGATTATTGCTACTACTTACCATACGGGACTGGGAAACGGTTGAGAAGGTAATACTGTACAACTGACATGGAGGATGAGAATAACATTGCAAATGTGGATGTAGCACTTGCTACCTGCCAAAGATAAAAAATCATCAATCTGGTTGCACTTGTGATTTTCTCTTCCTGATGTTTTCGGTTATGATACCCGAAAATGTATGTTATAGATGATAGGTTATCAGCCTATGAGGCTTATATATATTCTCTGAGCTGAGGCCAGTCCAGCTGACTTGTTCATGGCAGGTTATCTAGTTGATATCTTTCTAAAGATTCCTTTGCACCAATGGATTTGGGCTGGACAAGATTTTCTGACTGATAAAAAGAACAGAGTGAATTTTGTCTTGCATTGAACTATACCTGAGGAGGAATTCCCAATTCAAGAAAAAGGGGTCCCAAGATGAAACCGCCTCCCAGCCCAAGTAGGCCACCCACCATACCAGCTACTATCCCACAGCTGCAGTAAAGAAAAATCTGATGCAATTTCCAGTTTGTGATTTCCTTTCCTTTGGATGCAATCACCCTGGTGCCTTTGCATAAGCATATGGCTTCAAAGAGCGTAACGGAGACTGCAATTGGTACCTACAAAATGATAAAATATTATGTTCAACTGGACATCATTCTTTTTATGTATGCTTGAGTGTACATAGTTAAGTGTTTCTATAGTGCTCTTGAAAGAAATCTTACTACTCTGGCTGTTAACCTTACCTGCAAGGAGTTCAGGACCCAGAACATGGTGGAGCAAGTTTCAGTATATGTCTGCACAAAGTTCAGATACACTAATTCAGTAACAAAAGTTAAAATCATGGCGCTTTGGAAGCAAATGCAGAGGAATTAGAAAGATTGAACTTGATTGCATTGCTAGTGATGATCATATCTTTTGGAGAGCATTTTAAGGTCCGGTATGCGAATAGATGAGTTCCTAGAAAAGCTTCTTTAGTTGTACAGAACTACAGAGTAAAATAACTTACCTTAACAATCTGAACAATAAGAAAAGCCACCCAGACATACACAAGCATCAATAACTCCTTCCAGTAAACGTTGTGTGATATAGGCACCTGGATAGAGTTGTTCATAACATCAATAAAACAAAAACTGAAACAACTTAAAAATTGTAGACGACAAAGAAGTTGCAAAAGAATACTGCCCTAGAGTGTTCTGATATTCTTGGAACTTACCTGCTCATCTTGCAATGAAGCAGGACCACCAGGTAGTGGTTTGTAGTCTTCTCCAGAACCATCTGCAACAAAGGAGATGCGCACTTTAGAGTTTTCTTTTAGTTGATATTAGTGTATATTCTCTAAACTTGGTCTATATATATAGGAATGTTTGGATGAGCACTCACCGCCAGGTTTGGACTCCGATTCCAACTGCTTTTCTGCTTCCTGAAAGTCATTTGAAATCTCAAATTCCTTGTTACTAGATTGATACCAGATCATATTCATTGATAGCTCAGGAAATAGTTAAGTGAAAACCTTACCTTCTTCATCATTGTCTCTTTCTTCCATGTTTCTATGCCTTTCATTAAAGCTTTTGCTGCTGTACCTGCCAGAATTCAGAAGAATGTCTAATAAGATTATTGGGAGTACTCAAAGTAAATAAGGAATTTGTGTTCAAAATGTTATTACCTAAGAAGAGAATGATAAGTAGAACTGTGACCATCCAGTCGGCGAACATGACGTTGAAGGCAACTCCTATGCTGATGCCTAGCATGAGCATTGGCTGAAAGAGCAAAGCCAGATCATAATCTATAAGGGGCATGTCCAGTGTTGGGTGCCTAAGTCTCAAATTGAAGTATACTGTTGAACCTGCAGCACCCATTATCATACCTGCATGACCAAAAGGATGGCATACAGTTCTTCAATTCTGTCTAAATTGAATACATTAAGATTAAATTAACAAGTTAAAAGAAAAGATTAAAAGGAAAAGTGATTACTAACACTTGGAAATGGCAGTGGAAGACTTGGGATCAAAACCAATTATCAAGGCAAGCATTGGTACAAAAATACCTCCACCTCCAACACCTCCCACACTACCCAATGCTGCACCAAAGAATCCAACTATTGAGCCAACTACAATTTTCCAACCAAACTTCATCTCCTGAACAACCAAAATATATATTTATATGTCAAAGTCAAAATACCACAACAGAAAACATGAAAGGAAGAATCATCAAATCTTATAGGAAATTAGATGTAAAAGTTATATCCCCTTTATGCTCTCTATCTCTTTCTCTCTCTGTGTTCTTGCTGGAGATGCATTAACTATGGTGTTTAAGAGAGATCAAACTCACTGGCCAAACAGGCTGATAAGAAGATCCTCCCGCCTGCCATAGAAAATTGACCACTTTCACAAAAAATGCTTCATGTATGTCTTGCTCAATAAATTTTGTTGGCTTCTCATCTTTGAGAGGCCTCTCTGCACTGGCAACTTCACTTGTCATAAGGAGGTTAATGAAGAGTGCCCATGCTATTGCTATTGCTGCTGCTCTTGCTGATATTGTTACTGCCCTCGGAGTGACCTTGGTTTGAGCCATTCAGGTGATGATAGTTACTAGCAAGGCAATGAAGTTATGGCTCAGAGAAGCTGTTTCTATATAGAAATAATACTTCTGTTGAATGTTCTGCACTTCCCTTTTCTCCTCCTCCTAGTTTTTTTAAGTATAGTGCACAATTCGGAGTGCACTCTTCTAGTACCTGCCTACTGTCCTGCTGTCTACATTTATAACCTCTCTCTGTCTCTCTCTCTGCATGTGTATTGATTTGGACTTCATTAAGATTATAAAATAATTTACATATGGGACCCTCAAATCCTATTTACCCTCTCTCTCTCTCTCTCTCTCTCTCTCTCTCTCTCTCTCTCTGAGTTGGGACCCTCAAATCCTAGTAAGAGTGTAAGTAGGGACTGGGGAGTGCTGAGTCATCAAAGCTTTGCTGCAATCATGCCAACTCACATTCATAAAGTGATATAGCAGGTTGAAGAAAGCACCAAATGCTACATCTCTAAACTTGTTAAGTATCACTAACTTAACATTTTTGGTGTCCTTCATTCTTTATTCTCAAGGAATCTAGAGGAGGGTAAAAAAAAATTGGTGTTTAAGCTTAAAAAGAATCTCAAGAAAATAATAAAAACCCAAACTCTCAAACAGGTTTTTCTTTGGCATTTACACAACAACAGTCAAGTCAAAATTACAAGCATTGCAGTAAAACTCTGCCAAACAAACAGTCCAAAATCTTGAAATGGTACAAATCATGCTCCACAGTACACAATGATGCACCCCCTTAAAAATTACCAACAAAAATTCTTAATCTCAAATTTGAATGGAGCAAGAAATAGGAAGCAAACATAAGAGGGTTTTGTCCTCAATATGTCATTTTTCTAATCATGAAGCTTCCCAGAAGCTCAATGGAAGAAACTGGAACTGGCAAGTGGGTTCACTTCACCTAATGATTTTGAAATGCTAGTCTCAACATTGGGATTAATTTGATACCCAAGTGATTTGAACGTTATTTTGTTTCTTTGTTGTCATGGTTACTTGTTTTCTAAACAACCTGCTGGCCGCACAAAACCTCTGTTGTGATTTTGTTTCTTACCATAAAGCAGGACAAGGGGTTTCTTCCTAGAAATTTCCGAGAAGCAACTTCAATTTCTCGAGGCAATGCAGTACCAACACGAAGAAGCTTTTACGGATTGACATTCTTGAAGAAGCTGTAAGCAACAGGTGCTGTGGCACTTTCATATATGAAGCTTCATCGCTGCTTCTTGGTTTTTGGCCTCTTCCAAACAAAAACACAACACAGCCCCCTCTAAAATTCCTATATTTGAATTATTAAGTTGCTCATTCGACTAATTGGCTTGTAACTAAAGTGGTTAAAATCATTTACCTCAGAGGGTTTTAGCTTTGATTACGCTTTGTATAAAATTATATAAAAACAAAATATTAATATTGAAAACCAGACTGGACCATTTGTACCAAAAATAAAAAGCTTGGACTGGACCATATATACTAAACTGTGTAAAACTGGAATACAAATTAATTTGAAACGTTTGGGCATGGGTAACCAGAATATTGTTTTATCAGTGAAATTTGGTTAGAATGGAAGACTATGGGCATGGGCCCGCATACTATTGGGCCTCATTTCACTCCAGCCCAATTATACAACCCACACAGAATTCCATCAGAAGGGGGTGGTGCCTGCATGCTAATCAGATCAGATAAAAAGACTGATGTGCAATGCAACGCTCATGAAATCGAACATATTTATGAAATACGGGTAGGTGGTAAATAGAATTTCAAGATGCCTCCAGGTTAGAGGTGTCAAACGGGCCGTGCCGTGCCGGCCCATCCCATTTAAACTCGTGCTTTTAACGTTTTCGTGTCGGGCCGGACCGACCCATTTAATTTATCGGGCCGTGCCGTGCTAGCCCATTTACTAAAATTATTAATCCCGGCCCGGCCCAAAGCCCATGTCCATATTGAA